GCTTTGCAGTCAAGCCACCTGGGTTCAAATCAAATTCCAGAATGCATGTTCCTGACTGAGTCATAGGGCAAGAGACTTAGCTTCCCCATGCTTCAGTTTACCCCTTGTATAACCTACAGTAATGCTGTGAGGGTTAAATGAATTAGTTCATGTGAAACACTGAGACCTGAACATAGAAAGTATGAAACACAATAATAATAAGCATTAGGCACTATTATTCACAGTAGTGTGGAAGACACAGCATTTCTTACACTCCAATAAATTCATAAAGCATGACTGACCATAGGAGTCTACAGAATCATAAACGAAGGCAAGACAGTAAATAAAACCACAGACTCCTTAAGAGCACGCATGATACATGCCAGACAGTAATTTTCAAGGGACCAGGGAGTTATACCTTCTAATCCCTAGTTGGGCACAAGGGATTAGAGCCAGATTGTGTGGTGAAAAATCAAAACCCAAACAAACAAATAAAAACCCTCTTGGTCTTCCCTTCCCTGTGAGATGGGAGTCATTAATTTACATTTGTAATATTAGAACTCTTTGGTTTGCAAGGACCAGAAATCTCAACTCAAAATGGCTTAAGCAAATAGCAACAACAACTACAAGAAAAAAAAAAACCCCGCTTTGTCTTTTTTTTTTAATGAAACTGACAGTCTAAGGGATAGTATGATTTTTTTTTTTTTTTTTTTTTTTTTTTGGATAGTGTAATCTTAAGGTGAAAGTCAACTTAATACCAGGGCCAAGTAAGATAAGCAGAACTTAGTGTCAGTCTTTTCCCCATCCTTCCTTTCTTCTTCTTCCTGCCCTGGTCCACCTCTCTGTGCTGTTACCTTTCTGTTATATCTTTTCCAGGTGGTAAGCTGATAAAAACACTTTTGCTCTACCCTACTCCAACCTCCAAAGTTCAAGTCCAGTAAGAAAAAAATACATACAACTTAATTCTTGCCCAAAACTTCCTTGCATCACTTTCACTCTCTCCAGGTCTCATGATCAGCCCTGAACTAATCTTGTTAGCCAAGTGGAGGAAATGCTTTGATTGGATTGTCTAGAGTCACCTCCTGAGGGCGGAGCATGAAGTTGAAATCATCTGAACCACATGAGTTCAAAGAAGGAAGGGGATAGTTCCCAGGAGGGATCTGGGTTTTCTAGTTTGCTGGTTGTGTGTCCTGCTATCCTGTTATATTCTATTTTGCTCACAGATTCTCTTCTGAACCCTGCCATTTTATCTTAGGAGCAGGATTAAGCAGATGGGGAAAGCTGAGTGGTAGACCACTTCCCCTATCATGCACAAATCCCTGGGTTTGATCCCCAGTACTACAAAAGTCACAAATCCCTGGGTTTGATTCCCGGTACTTAAAAAAAAAAAAAAAACCTAGAAGAAAAGAGGAGTTTTAAGTTTATTGACCAAAGAAATGATATGTATTTAGGGAGAAGGAGATAAAAATGCTAATTATCGTGATGTGATCATTACACATTTTCTACATGTGTTGAATTATCACATCATACCCCATAAATATGTACAACATATTATATGTCATTTAAAAATATATATTTTTTAAAGCTCATAGAACACTCTCCCAACCTTGTCATCATACCAGCAGGCTTTCTGTATGATGACTGGATTGAAGCTGAAAGAGTGGAAAGATAAAACATGGATGTTCGAGGAATGTGAAGTCTTCAGCACCTACAGTCACCTCTAGCATTAACCAGAGTCCAATTTCTAGCCACACTAACATGATACCTCACACTCTTTGCCTCAGTTCCTATTATCCAGCCTATCATCTGGCTTTTGACAACAACAAAACTATTAGACATGCTGAATGGCAAGGAAAAAAAAAAATGTCTAAGAGACAAAGCAAACATTAAAGCCAGACTTGGATGTGATTTGGGTTTTGAAATTATCTGACAGGGAATTTTAAATAAGTCTGACTAATATTTTGAGGGCTTTCATGCAAAAAGCAGGTGGATAATGTAAGCAGAGTGATAGAAAATATAAGAATCAAAAGGAGATGCTAGAAGTTAAAAAACAAAAACAAAAACTAGTGTGATAGAAATGAAGAGTCCCTTTGATGGGCTCATCAGCACACTGAACATGGCCAAGAAAGAAATCAGTGAATTGAAGATAGGGCCATAAAAATTATCAACTGAGCTGGGCATGGTGGCACATGCCTATAATCCCAGTGGCTCAGGAGCTGAGGCAGGAGGATCGCAAGTTCAAAGCCAGCCTCAGTAACTTAGTTTGATTCTGTCTCAAAATACAAAATAAAAATAGGTTAGCGATGTGGCTCCATGGTTTAATCCCCAGTACAAAAAAAAAAAACTCCCAAACTCTAATGTAAAAAAGTCTTTGGTTAATTAAGGACTTGTGAATTTCACCCAGTTTTATCTTCATGAGTATTGCTATTAATCATTTAGAGAATTAGACCCTATGACAATGAGTGACGGCTGGTCTTGTAGGAGTTTAAGTCATTGCTTAGCTCTGCTCAGCAGCCTCCAATAACATGCACACACCCTCTCATCTGTGCCATTCTGGGAAATCATTGTCCCAATGTTTCTGATTGATCTGTGCTAGGTAACCTTCAGAGGGAGAGGATCAACAGCAGGACCAGCACTGAGAAGTCTGGTCTAACAACAAGCTGTTTCAGAAACCCATTCCAGGTAAAAAGTGACAGATAAACATGAGGCAGAGCCTCCCCATCCTGAAGAACTGATGTAGAAACAGACTTCAAGACAAGGACCCAGTTAAGTACAAGGTGTGAGTGTCACGTCAGAAACAAGGGAGAATCTAAGTAGCCAGAAATGGGGCACAAAGACTGGGCCAGCCAAGCAACAATGGTGAGTGACTTCCAGTGGGGTCCCATCAGAGTGATGCCCTCCTTCTGGCCTCACCAGAGCATAGAGCTTAGGCTGCACCTAAGTCTTTTGATGAACTCCTGTGCTCTGAGAATGGAGGAATGACTCAGAAGCCAGGTAAGGCCTGTTACCCACTCATGTGTTCTGTGGTCAAACCCCAGGCACCAACTCACTGCCTGCCATTTAACTTACTTTCTCTATGAGGGACCCCCAAGTTTTGTCCAGATAAAAGCATGTGACGAATTCCTGAAGTGAATCTCCCTGAGTTTGTCTTAACATACCACCTCCTATCCCCTCCCACCATAGGTGTCTGTGACAGTTACTTTCACTTGCTAACTTGGCTAGGCTATTTGGTTAAACAGCAGTCTAGATGTTGCTGGAAAACATTGTAAAGATACGATTAACATTTCAGTATTGACAAATTGCAATATAATCAGTAAAGCATATATCCTCTATAAGGCAAACAGGCCTCATTCAGTCCATTGAAGGTCTTTAAGGAAAGATTGAGTTTCCAGAAGGAAGAGGAATTTTGCCTCAAGATTGTAGCATGGAGACTCTGCCTGAGTTTTCCCCACTTTGTTGATTTTAGACTTGCTAACCCCCATAATCACTAATTCCTCAAAATCTCTAATACAAGCCTTCTACAAGTTTATTGGCAGGAAAGAGTGAGTCTTTCTGCAATAAATGCAAACTCACATTTTTAACCAAAAGGGAATTTTGTTCAGTGAAAAACAATCATTCTATTCATTTATTTGACAGTGATATTAACAAAAAAAATATTTTGTTCGACTTTGCCACTTTTCATTAATTCTCAGTTTCACACTATTGCAACAGGACATTGCCCTCTAGCATGTTGACGTCAAAATTGATGCTTATTTTTTAAAAAGTGCTATCTCTGGCTAACCACTTCTAACTGCAGCCACATGAGGGCTCCTGTATCTTCGATGACTTGTAGAGGCACTTTCAGAAGCAATGAATCCCCTGTGAAAATCAGTAATTCAGGACCCATCCAAAGCACCACAATCACACCTGCTCAGTAGCTCACTCGTGGAGCCAAATGGATGGACCCAGAACTTCATTTTTGGCTTCTGCTTTTTATTTTGTTGTTATGTTTGGAAAAGGAAGAAAAACATAAACCGCCATAGTCTTGAGAGCCTCAGAAATAGCCTTGTGAATAAGAGTGCCCTCACTGTCAAGTACCTTGCCTACAGGAGTTGACAGGAGGCCTCTTCACAGGTGGATGCTACTATTTATTCTCTCAAACTCCTTGTGAACTGAAGGCTGGCATGAATGACTTTCATATCTCAGCATGAGACATTTGTTTGCTTTATCAATGTTTCTGTTTTTGTTTTAAGCCAAACTGCCATGTTAATTTAGAGAGTTCCCAATGGGCTGTCACCCACCCACCAGGTACTACATCCACACATCATAGGCAAACACAAACTACACAGCAACAAGAGAGCATGAGTGTGTCTGAAACAAATTTCTAACAATATTATCTTTTAACATACAGACTCATACTTTATTTTGACAAATTTAAGATAGAAAAATACCATAATGTGAATATAGCAGTTGCTCTTTTTGTAACATGATTTGGAATATGCAGTGCGACTTGGGATGGCCTTAACCCATGGTCTCTCTTCTGACTGGGCTACAGGCAAAAATGTATTTTAATCTCAGCCATTGCATTTGCTTGAAAAAATATTACACAGTAAAACTGGCTTTTAAAAAGGTTGTGGCATTCAAGAATAAATACTATAAAGCCAGGAATCAAAACAACATTTTAAATATTTTTGTAATTACTAGACTTCATAATTATAAAGCCAAGAACTCATAGTTTCAAAATAGCTTCAACATTTTCCACTAATATTTAATAGAACATTAGAATACTAATTTTTTAAAACCAGTGAAGAAAAATTAGAGTAAACATAATATTTCAGATGACTCTAAACAGTAAATATCAATCTAGTGTATTTACATTGTCCTTTTAACACTATACTCTGCCTAGCTGATAATAGAAACTAGTCTTATCACCAAAAGTGTGCCCCTGAATGTAATCTTTGAACTCAGTAAGTGCTGTCATCATTTCTATGCTCCATCTTTGGAGAGGGTGTTGAGGGACTCTTGATACATGCAGATTTTTGGTTATGGTTATAAAGACAAAAATAAATAACTAAGTGTGCCAGGAGTTTGAAGCTGAAAGTGCTGTTTCACTTTGTTAAGCACCTTCACATGTTTTTTTCTCTGTGATGCCTCAGTCATGCTAAATAATTCACGTAGGTGCTAATTTTGTTGCTGTAGGTCCTTTGAACTTTGCTTTCCTTAACCACTCCTTAAAGAATAAAGCTGGGAGGCCCCTCATTAAAATATATTATTTTTAACATATAAAATAGCTGTATGTACATGTGTACATACGTGCATGTCCTTCTCAAGGACTGGGTAACTCCTCATTTTCTATCAAATAATCCTTCTTCATATACTTCGTTCCCCTAACTAACCTCCACACTTCCAGGTAAGCGTCTTTTAAGGACCTTTTACTCCCTTCTTCAGAGGTGTCTGAGATCTTTGAGCTCCTAGCCACCAGTGGGACCCCTCGGGGGCTGCCCCTCAACTCTGGTCCACTCTGCTGAGTGGAGCCACCTGCTTCCTCCCCACCCTCTGTCCCCCCATTTCCACCCTCCCCGGGAAGCTCTTCCATCACGAAAGGCAGCTGATCTCCACTTGGCTGCGTTTCCTCTCCCTCGGGCTGCGACTCCAGGTCCTCATAGTTGCTTTGCCTTCTGGTCTCCATGAATTTGGCCACACAGTAAATGATGGAGCCCAGGGTGTTTACCACGACACCGGCAATGAACAGAGAGGTGGGCTCCACATCGCTGAAAGCCACCATACCCACCGTGATGGTGGCGATGCTTTTCACCACGCCCACGAAGCTGGTGGTCACGGCTGAGTTGATGTAGGTGCAGTGTAGGGTGGTGAAGTTCATGGCGCAGCCGATCAGTATGCAGGCCACGAAGATGCAGACCATGGCGGGGTCCTTCCAGCCAGGAAAGGCCCAGGCGTGGATGGAGTCAGTGCTGGCGAAAGAGCAGACCACCAGCAGTGGTGTGGCAGAGATGGCGATGACATACTGCGCGGTGAGCGGCCCATGATCTGTGTCTGCGCTCGCCTTCTGGATGAGCACCAGGTAGGCGGCGTGCACTAGCACCGCTAGCACACCCGTTATGTACCCGATGGGGTCTCCCGTCAGGTCGCCCGCTCCTGTAGCGCACCAAGAGGATGGCAAAGCCAGCGCAGGAAGGAAAGAGAGAGAAGACACCGGGTTGGCGCGGGTGGGTATCCAATGGGCAACGCGTCGGGTCGGAAAATAGACGGAATTAATACTCAAGCTCTGCGCACGGATTTCCCTAGTGCCTATATAGATGCCCACTATGCCTCGGCAACTTCCCTGACAGGTCTCCGGGTCACCCCTCTGACAAAGGCCACCAAGAGCGCAGATGTTCTCAGGGTAGATACTTGTGGCTTCCCTGAGCAGACGCCGAGGTCATCCAGGTACATTGTACCTCTACCCCCAACCCCTGAGCGACCAGAATGGAGAGGTGGCACCGGCTAGTGACCTCTAACCGAGCGTGCCAGGCGCTGGGCGAAAATCGCCTCCCTCCTGACCCTCCTCGGAATGAGTGTTCGGTTCGCACGTTGCTCTGTCTCCTAAACCCCGCCCGCACCTGGGTCCCAGGTGGGCCCCCTCGGCCCCGCACCAGCAGCCCCGACACCCCAAACCAACCCCAGGATCCCAAGTTTCGCTGCCATCCCTCCCCCATTCCAGCCCGCGTGACCCAAGGAAGTTCACGACCCCCTCCTTCCGGCTCAGTCCACGGTTGGACTCCGGCTCGGGTTCAGGCGGCTCCCCCATCCCTCCCGGAGGAAGGGATCCAGGGGAAGGGCGATACGCGGTGAAACCCGGGCAGGGGTCGGAAGCCCAGACACCGGGTGGGAGACCCCGAGGGAGGAGGACAGAGCGCTGGGAAAGGCTCCGCTGGGTCTCAGAAGAAAGTCCCTTTTGCGAGTCGAACAACCATTCTCAAAGCTCTCCGCCTCTCTCTGCCTCAGTCTCCCCATCTGGAAGCGAGGGCGTTGCACTAAGTGGTCCCCGCCGTCTCTGCGGGGCGGGTTGGGGTGGGCTGGGGGTTGGCGCGGGTCCCGCTCACCTGCCAGGGCGGCGCCGCAGGTGGTGATGAGCACGGCCGTGAGCACCCCTGGCGAGGGTGCGCCGTTCTTGAGCACCAAAACGCCGATGAGCATGGTGACCAGGGGCAGGCAGCGCTTGAAGACCACGTACATGGGCAAGCTGAGACCGCGCAGGGACCAGAGCGTAAGACTCGACTGCAGTGTGGAGAGCACTGCGACCCCCGCGAAGGAGCGCGCCAGGCTCAGGCCGAAGGGGGGCACAGCGATGAGCCCAAGGCGCCGCAGCAGCTCCAGGCTCAGCGCCGCTGTGGAGCTGGTCAGGCACTGCACCAGGGTCAGGAAGGAGAACTGGTAGCGGCTGATGAGGAACTTGAGCAGGATGTTGAGGGAGCCCGAGAATACACCGTGCGCGATGGCCACCGAGATGCCCAGCACGCGGCCCCGGCACAGCTGCCGCATCGCGCCGGCCCCGCAGCACCGGGCGGCGGCTGAGCTCCCGGACGTGCGGGAGCTGAGCGAGGGAGGCGGGGGCGCCCGCCCAGCGCCGCGGCAAAAGGCAGGGAGCTTTGGCTCGGGTGCAGAGGGCAGCTCCAGCCGGGCGTCCTCGCGGCTCAGCGGCTCCGCGTCCAACTGCCCCGCAGCTCCGGGGAGGCAGTAGCGGGGGCGGGGGACTCCGAAAAGTGGCAGGGTGCGGGGGGGGGGGGGCGGTTTGAGAGGAGTGGCGGGAATCCTAGCGACAGCGATGTGTAAGTAGGTGACGAGCCGCAATGGGCTGTATCCCGCGCGAGTTCCCCGTCAGGAGAGAGGCTCTACAAGGGAAGCCGGGCGGCTGCCACAGGGCGGGACCGGCCCGCGCCCCTCGGGCATCAGTGCCCACCCGGCCCACTCTGGTGCGCGGTTCCCCCTTCTGTCCTAAAAGCGGCCAAGCCGAGGGGCGCGGATTGGGGGAATCCCAAACACATCTTAAGATGATTTTAGAAAGAGCAGCTCTCCGGGATCGAGCACCGTTTATTGGTCGCAACAAGTGATGGCGCCCCCAACCCCCTTGCTGCAGAGGATTTTCCACCCACGGTCTCTCCTCAGCTGGGGAAGCAAAACACGTCGGTGCTGGAGACACCCTAATACTTAAGATCCGGGTGCCGTCGCCCAGACGTTGAAATAACCTGCGATCAGGGCGTGCCATGTGGTCTCGAGACAGGCCTTTCCCGGTGCCTGGCTTTGAACACCCAGGGCTGCGCGAGGCTCTGCGGGAGCCGGGTGTCCTTTGCAGGACTGCGGGGTCTTGGGGGTGGAGACACACATTTAAGTGAAGCAAAGGTGTAAAATAAGCTAAAGAGCAGAAACGATGTCTCTGGTACAAGTAGCCATTACCAGTTCTGGGGAGGAGCATGGAGGCGACGCTGTCCGAGCGATGGGAGAGGAGAGGCTAGATGCTCTGGGGACTAGGAGAGAGCGCGATGCAGAGGAAGGCTGGCGCGGCGGAGATGGGGGCGGGCAGGAACCCGGGCCCTCCACCCTGCAAAGGGGGATCCGTGTAGCGTTCTTGGATACCAGGGAGGGGGTTGCACTCTTCAGGACAGTAGTGGGCCATCTCTCCAGATCAGGGTTAGGGATACACCTTTGCCCACACAGGACTGGTGAACTGTGTGCTTCTAATGCAGCTAAGAGAAAAAGGTGATTCTTTTTTTTCGGGCGCCAGTCTTCAGTGCCCCTTCGATCCGAATTCAGTTCCCTGGGAAGCAACACCTGGGCTGTAGTGAACTCTGCAGCAGCAAACAGACTCGCTCAGCGGCGCTCATCACTAAGGGCCAGTTTAGTTTTCACACTAGTTGAAATTCGTGGCTGCAGCCGGGTTTGGGTGAGAGGGGAGAGTAGGTTGGAGCTCCACTACACCCCACTTCTTTGGATCCCTGGCCACGGTTCACTTCTTCTAGCCAACAGGATCGCAACCTCCTAACTTTGAAACGCCACACAACCTTACCTTAAACACACAAGATCAGTCGCTTCGCAATTTTTCTTTCTGCCTCTTTTTCCATCTCTGTTCTGTATCACTGCAGCACAGGTGTTGAAGATTGGATTATTGCAGGAGGGAAAAAAATAATAACAGTTGTAATCGCAGCATCACTGCAGTTCTTCCTCGGAGGCAGCCTTTTGTTATGGATGCTCACTGTAGTGGGAGAAAGCTCTGTCTCTACCAGTCCATTAGCTCCTGTGCATAAAGCCTAATAGGATCACCTCCCTATCCCCGACAGGTGGACAGTCAAGAAAATGTTTGTGAATGGACTACCATGCTAACTTTCCAGGAATAACACTGGACAGCATTACACTGAAAACACGTGCTTCCTGTTCCTCAGGGAGTTCTTGGTTTTTAGTGTTAAAACTTGTGGTTAGGCACTATTTAAGGATATTTTAGGGGCTGGGTTTTTGTTGTTGTTGTTGTTTGCTTGTTTTAGTTGATGTTATTTTGGGGGGAAATTATAAAGTTTGAACCAGCAGTTAAAATTGTGTATGTGTGTGGTGTAAATGTATATTCAAAATATACTGAGATAAAACTGAAAGTTAACTTTTTAAAAAAATATTAATTCTTAAGTTTTAGGTGGACACAATATCTTTATTTTTCATTTATGTAGTGCTGAGGATCAAACCCAGTGCCTCGTGCATGCTAGGTGAGCACTCTACCACTGAGCCACAACCCCAGCACCCCCAAAAGTTAACTTTTTGAAGACATCAGCAAACAAAAGATTTCTGTTTCTAGGGACCATTTCAATTAAAGAACGGCTTCTGCAAGCCACCCTAAATGGATATTATAAAGTGACTGCACAGACCTAGTTTGGGAATGATTCATTTCTGCCAGCAATTATAATTGCTTCCATTTGTGATACTAACATTAGTAGAAGATTGGTGACTGATTCAGCTAACTTACCCTTCTCAAGCAAGGCTATTGAGCTTAATATTTGAAATCTGCGGTGGCGTGAAACCCCATACATTTTTTCCACTGTAGTGCATATAGTTCTTTAGTAGGACTTTTTATTTTTAACCCCATCTACACAAACCAGTTACTAGGTAAATGCCTAAAGAAAACTGGCGGGGGGGGGAGGGGGTGTGGGAATAAGAACACTATGTTTAACAAGGTTAATCAAACAAGAATGGGGATCTGAAGTCCAATAGCAATTTGATCTATTGGTATCAAGGATCTAGATATAAGGGCTCTCTCTCTCTCTCTCTCTCTCTCTCTCTCTCTAACAGAATGGAAGGGCTCTGTGTGTGTGTGTGTGTGTGTGTGTGTATGACAGCAGAATGCATTACAATTCATATTACACATATAGAGCATAATTTTCATATCTCTGGTTGTATATAAAGTATATTCACACCAATTCGTGTCTTCATACATGTACTTTGGATAATGATATTCAGCACATTCCACCATCATTTCTAAGCCCCTCCCTCTTCCCTTTCCCTCCCACTGTCTGAGCCTCTTTGTATCAGAGAAAACATTCGGCATTTGTTTTTTGGGGATTGGCTAACAGGGCTCTGTCTTTAGAGCTACTCAATAAATATTGGTGGCATTAAATCAATCTCTTAATTCATTCATTCAACAAACATAAAGAGCAAGTATTTTGTGATAGGTAATCTGTTAGCCACAGAGGATTCAAGGATGAGCACTCAGCTAGTCCTAAGGGATTCACAAGTGGTTGGGGGTGAACACAATGAAGCTAAGGAAGGAGTGAAGCCTTGCAGCAGAAAAAGGGGGAGCTTCCTGGAGGGCAATTAAATCAGCTCGACAGGGAGCAGAGAAGCTTCATGAGAAAGAAATTTTGAAATTTTTACTTATTACTTTTATTTGTAAGATTGACACATGATCATAGGAGAATGTAAAAGGAAAACAGACTAAATAACAAATGAACATGTTTTTTTGTTTGGTTTGTTTGGTACTGGGGATTGGAACTAGGAATGCTCTAGCTCTGAGTTATATTTCCAGCCCTTTTTCTTTTTTAAAACAGGTCTCGCTAAGTTGCTTAGGGCCTCACTAAATTGCTGAGGCTGGTCTTAAACTTTCAATCCTTCTGCCTCAGGCTTCAGATGTAAATGATGGATTAGAACTAGCCAAACCAAGGGCAGGACTCTTGAGGCATGCAGACTTAACTTGAGCAAACACAGACATGGAAGACCTGCATGATTCCATGGGGAATTTTATGAGTACAACAGTATTTTAAAGAGGACCAGTGCTGCAGGGAGAGGTTTTTTTGGGTTTTGTTTTTCGGTGTTTTTTTTGTTTTGTTTTTTTGGTTTTTTTTTGGGTGGGGGGGGGGGTTGCCCAAAACCCCCTGGCTGCTTGGTTAGCAAGCTTGAACATTTCGCTGTAGGCAGTCCTACAAGCAGAGAAAAGATTACTCTAAGACTGGGATAATCAGATTGCATTTTTGATTAGTCTCTGGCAGCTGTGTTGATGAGAATGGTTCTGAGGATTCAGAACTAGAAGCAGTCACCATTGAGGAAGCTGCCACAATCCACCTAAGGAAAGCTAATGATGACTTGAATGGTGGCACTGGTGGCCGCACTGAAAGGAAGAGACAGGTGGGAATGAGGGAAGCCATGGGATGCTATTTTGGTTTCTTTTTTTTTGTAGTTGTTTGTTACAGTTATTTTGTTTATTTATTTTTATGTGGTGCTGAGGATCAACCCAGTGACTCACACGTGTGAGGCAAATGCTGTACCGCTGAGCCCCTGTTTAGGACTTTGGTTTGTCTGAAACTGGTCTTTTAGCTTGATTCTTCATTAGCAACAAATGAAAAAGCATGTGCAGAAAGGAGGAGCTGGTGTAGCATGTAAAATGAGTTTGGATGGAACAAAATGAATGCAAAGGCATTTGGGACACCCAGGTGGGGAAGTGGGGAAGGCAGGAATCATATACACGCCCACACCCACACACAATGTAAGTGCTTAACACATCGGAGAAAAGGCCTGTTAAGTAAGAAATTAGGAAGAGCTCATTTTTGGAAGAGCCAAGTTATTTCTGAGATAAGCAGTTAAGAAGTGCCAAAACCAGAAAGGACAGCTGGCTCTCAGCCTGGCTCTCCCAGGAGGTGATGGACCTTGGTAGGCTCACTCAGACACAGGTTTAGTTTCTTAGCTTTTCAGACTTGGAAGCTCAGTCTTCTCAGACCCCCCCCCCCCCCGTCCGTCCCCCCTACTCCCACCCCCAGAATGATCAGGATCTACATCTTGACTCTCGGCAGATTTCTGTTATTCCTAAGAAGGCCATGTGGCAGGACCAGAGGTTTGAATTCAGTCATCCTAGTTCATTCCAGACTTCAAGCCAGTCTCATTACTTCCTGGCTATTGTGGCTGAGAGCCTGGGCTTTCTTGCCTGGAAAACAGGGCTACCTCTCAGGGAGGTTATAAAGATTTAAAGAAATAATGTATAAAGCATCAGATCACTGGCTGGGGGCTCCCTTTTCCTCCATCCACTCTTCCATCACTGCAGGTGCAGGGGCAGCTTGGAAGCAGCCAGGAAAGCAATGCTGATTTTTCCAACCTGGAAGGAATGACTGATTGCCCAGAAGTGACTTAGCTCATGAGCAACCAAGAATTCAAAAATCTTGCATATTCTTTTCAGGAGAGAATCCAACTCTGCTTTTTCTGGTTTTCCAACACTAACTCTAAGGAACCAACCGAATAAGCATTCAGCCACACTCTTTCACACTGACAGACTCCAAGAACTGAGTTATTTATTATGGAGTAAGTGTTCTAAACATCTCTAACATCCCTGAAATAGAGTGAAAAAGTAAATCAAAGGATGTTAATTTTTAAATCAAGTTTTTTTTGTTTTGTTTTAAAAGATACATAGTAAATTATTAATACCCTAAAGGGAAAAAATAATTTCATTTTTATTGTAAATCTGATCTATTATCAATTTTGCTGATGCAGAGAACACACACTGAGGACATGCTTCTATTGAATCACACCTTGGTGTGATGCCATTAATTCACAAGAGGGAAGCAACACAGAAAAGCTCTATGAAACTCATCCTTTATGACAGCTCTGAGGGTGAGGTGAGTACCTTGTCATTACAATCCACTTATATTGTCCTCTTTATGGCACTTTTCAAAAACTATTAGTACTGCCTGAGATCATAAATTTATTTTAAAAATGTTAATTGAGCACCTTGTATGTTTGAGGCCTGGTACATAGGCACTGGATTATATAACTGACCAGGTTACCTTATAAGGCTAGACATCTTGGTAGCAAATCTTTGGCCTCGTCAGTAGCAACTTCATGGAACTCCTCCCACCCAACCCCACCCTCAGGGCCAAAGACCCCACTCAGGGCCTTGTGTGAGCTAGGCAAGTACTCTGCCACTGAGCTAAGTCCTCAACCCCTTCACGGAACTTCTGACATATGTATTTTCAAGTCCCACTCCCGGCTCCACTTTGTCTTTTGTTCTACCTCCTAATTTATGCTGTCTTGGAATTATATCTTAAGATGTAATATTTCTTTCTAGAATAATTAAAAATATATATAAATAAAACAATATCCAAATATTTTATTTCTGCTCTGATAATTCTATTTTGTTCTTTAAAAATTCTCCAAAACTTAAGAATGCAGTTAGTCAGACTTTTTTGTCATTTGTTTTAACATTATGTAAAAAATTAAAATGTGCAAAATAGATAGTTTAACTAATTTCTCTTTTTAACTTGTGTTTTTTTTCCAGGTAATTAATCAGTATATATGAATTTTTCAAGAAGATTTGGGAAGGTAGCAAGCAGAGTTTGTAGCACAATTTAGGGCTAGTTTCATGCAACTTAAAGAAGCCTTAGTAGGACTTAAGACTCTTCTTAAGCAAGGAAGAGTTTTCAAATTTGTTGATAGAGAAGTGGGAAGAGAGAGACATACAAAGAGGTACAATATCTAAAAGGATTCAAATAAATGTAAAAAAAAAAAAAACAAAAAAACAGAAAACAACTTTTAACCCACAGCATTCCATGTTCTTAAAGCATGGCACCAGTCTTTACGAGAATTTCATTCAGTCTGTGTAAGGCACATAGTACATGCTCAATAAATAACCACTGACTATAATTAAATCTATATATTAGAGCCCATATATGAACCACAGCTATATCTATATAATTACAGTATTCACACACACAATGTGTTAAAAAAGCAATCTTGTTGGGTTATCATAAAATGATAAATGACCAAGAGATGCAATTTATTTTGATTTTTATTAATAGCAATGATTTATATTTCACATCAAAAATGAAAAATTTAAAAATATATCACTATTCACATAATCTCATCTCCCATATTTTAATCCATTTTATAATACAGAGATTATATTCTAATTGATATTATAAGATATACTATAACATCAATTATTTCTTAGGATTATAAGAAACATGACTTATGTACCAAGCTTAAAGAGTGAGCCCAAGTCTTTATCAGCTGCCTCAAAACTGACTCCAGAGTAAGTCTGGGAAAATTTGAAATCTGAATAGCATATAAACGCAAAACATCTATGTTTTCAATAGTTAAGTCAGTTGCAGTTTAAGCAGTTCTCCAGTCAACATTTTTTCTGACCACAGCCGTGTATCTCAAGCAGGAATAGTAAGACAAGCAGGATCATATATCTTTATTGTTTCATCCCAAGAACAGTCAGCTACCTGCAAAACAAAAACAAAGGAAGCAGCACACATTTAAGTATATAAAAATCAAAACTGGTAGCAAAAGTCCCAGTTGTTTAGAGTATAGTAGGCCATTCACTAGTAAATATGGGACAGGAAAAACATAGGGATATGTCGTCTTCAAGAAGTCCTATTTTCCCTTTTCAAGATACACTTTGGGAACTGTCGCCAATTGACTGCAATTGCCTACAAGAATTTCCCCTACCCTATCACAGAGCTCCATAATCTCCTGAGATAAATGCTGGAAAGATGAGTTCCTAGATTAAACTAATAAGACTTTTTGCTCAATGGACAGTTTAAAAAAATTTTTGATAGTAGAGAAGTAGAATGGGAAGAAGGGAAAGAAATACAGTATCATATACCATATCTACACAACAATTAAATGCATGTAAAAATGTGTGATCTACACAGTGAGGAGGGGGAGGAAGATGAAGTACGGATCTCACCTTCACAGAACAACTCAGATCAGAACAAGTGTGGAACATACTCTAGAGACTCCCAGAGGAGGGACCATCCCATTTCCACAGGGGTAAAGTCAGAAAACTTGACCATGCCCTGCCTGGCATTTGCACTGGAGTCACAGAGCTAAAACCTGTGCAAAAGTCTGTTGAGTGTTTCCATTAGAACCAGTCCCTCATAAAAAGCAAATTGTCAACCATTATTTGCCTAATCCTGTAATTACAAGTTTTCATACCATGGGACACAAAGATCATTGCATTAATTTACCCCTGACTCATCTATGGGTTCTTTTCAAGTATTAGGCCTTTCAGTGTGTTAAGCATCAACTACTATGGAAAAGAGAATCAGAAATAAGACGAAGATTTCTAATGCAAGGCATCTGTAAGTTATGTCTATGAATTTCTATTCAACACTCTTCAAGTTTTTATTTACTCAAGACTTAAAATAACTCGTAAATGTGAAGGTCACTAAATCAACAAGTGTTCACAAATATATAATTAATAATGCAAGGAAGAGCTAAAACTGCAATGATTCAGAATTATGAACACCTTAATTCAAATTAATGCAAATAATTAAATTTCATTTCATTCTACAAATTTAAAGATGCTTACAATAAAAAACAATAAGGTTTAAAAAAAAAAAAAAAACTTTACTAACAAAGAAGCTCTAGATTCTCTAAGGTTAGCACGCAGAGATTTCCTGGTAAAGAAAAAGGACTGTACCACATATTCCCTTGTGGGGAGCCTCTCATTAATTACTATCACCATCCCAATAGCCTCTATTGGCATGTTTCCCCTTGAATTCTAGGACCGAGAGTTAATTAATACAAGGCTCTCGATGTCCCATAGACATCTATGGCCAGCCTAAAAGACATTCAAAAAGTGCTAAAAATAAGGACCAAGAAAAAGATAAACATTAAAAACAAACAAAAAAAAATGGACTCTGGTAAAATAAAAAATGCTAACAAAAAGACAAAGCAAATGACATGAAAATAAATAATCTACTTTACAGGTTAAGATCCACTCAGACTTTTGCTTGTTAAAGAGGAATCTTTCCTATCTCCCATCCCACTTCCTCTTAATAAAAGCCCTCAGTCCCTCCCATCCCCAGGAATGCATGCCTGGCCACAAGACTCCTTTTCAAGGCCAGACTGGGGACAGAGCAAAGCCAATGACACAGGATATCTTCTTTTCTATCTATGATTGATACTCCTTCTCAATTTCAGTCCCCTCAATAAGGACTCTCTTTGCTCATTACACTATCTATTGTCAGAAAAACTGTGAAAAACTGAAAGCAGCAAAAAGATCACCATGTCCTTGAATAGAATGCTTATATTGTCTTAAGGCTGTTCTGGATCACCTGATGCTTTCAGGATCTGTGCCTTTTACTGCCTTACCTCAGAGCATCTTACCAACGGAGAACATCTCAGTCCCTTTAGTTTTTTTTTATTTTGAGGTGAATTCTCACTAAGTTGTCCCAGACTGGCCTTAAACTTGTGATCCTCCTGTTTTGGCCTTCCAAGGTCCTGGGATTACAGGCGTGTGCCTGTCCTCAATTCTACCTGCATATTAGAAAGTTCTTTGGGGAATACTTGATGTGCAGGAATTTTTGTTATGGACTAAAATAAATTAAAAATTTGGCAAGATTAAAATATTCTTGAGGAAAAAATCTTTTCTTGAGAGAAGAGATTTATAAGCCATTAATATTCAAAACACCTTGTGCTCTATTTTCACATTTTTATGTAAAATCAAGTTTCAAATCCAGTAGGCTGATATGTGGTAGGAAGAGAGACAAGTGGGAGGACAAAGAAAGAGGAAACATTAGTGAAAATCCTGAGCCCTCCCTGAAGCACTCTGAAACCAAGAGTTTATGTACCTTCCTGGACCATTCTACATTAGCTAGGATCCAGGATTTCTACTTAAAAACATGAAAATTTGTATTATTTATTTAAACCTTCGTTACTTATAATTCTTAAAATTTATTTTGCTTGAGATTTTTACCATCAAATTCTAAATGGGTTTAGGTAGTTTACAGATTAAACCACAGGGCTAAATGAAGTAAATAAAGATTAAAAAAAAAAAAAAAAACTAAAAGAATCTAAGAATCTAAAAATCTCTTCTAAAGGCACAAATGGAGTAAAGCTTTCAGACAGAGCATATCAATACCTGCACAGTAACTTAAGCAATATGTCTTATGACAGCTAAGAGAAAATGAAAGCATGCTGGGGAATAGTTTCTTTTTTCTAACAACACTGGCATATGGATATAAATATGTCTATGCAACTAAAACCAAACAGTATTTTTTTAAAGAGGGACTGTATATTGACCAGATATGTAAATCTGTATTCCTTGTATTTTGCATACAATAAATCTTTAATAGATGCTTACTGAATGAATTAATAAATCCATGTATAAGCTGTGGTTTATTCTTCTCCTCAGATTTTGTTATGTAGATGTGAGGTCAGAAATTTGGGTAAAAGCAACAATTTTTATGTGATTTGGGAGATATATGGAATTTTTGAGGGTCACACATATTATTTAGAGAAGTTTCAAAAGGAGCTTTCTGTCCTAGGAATTGTTAGTAAAATATTCCTTTGCATTACAAAAATATAAATATCATAATTCATACACACATATATTCATCCATTTAGTCAATACATTTTACTGAGAGCCTCCACTGTGTGTCAGAAGTATACCAAGACTATGACAATAAACACTATCGTCCTGGTCTCTGCCCGATAGCTCCTGAGTCCAGTGAAGAAAGGAATTAAGTACAGAGACACCTATAACGCAGGGTAATATGTGTGATAATTGTGGGGCCCAGTAAAAATAGGAAAGGAGCCCCTGTGACCAAATTTGGGGAAAGCGATGTTTTCAGGAGTATTATCTAAGCTGAGGATTAAAGGAGGAGTGCCTTAGCCAGAGAGCACTTCTTGTTATTTGTGGGACAAAGGTACAATGTAGAAAAGGGGTATGATCAGCAGAACAAACAAGAGTGAATGAAGAACTAAAAATTCCAGCTTTGGGGAAACTGAAGTGCTTCATAACTCCTCTGATGAAACTCTGAATGTATTGGTAGAAGACTTCTTTTCTGAGTGTGCTCTAGGGTTCCTTGAAGGCTGGATGCTGAGGCATGTCTTGTGTGACCCTTTTCCCTTGCAGTGTGAGTGTGCATGGAGACACCCAAGGATGGGAGTCTCCAGGGTGCCACTGCTTCTGCCCAGGGATATTCAAGTGGAAAATTTATTCCTAACCCCACAAGCCACCACTGTGACACATTCATCTTTTTGCTCTTCTGAATTTCCTTGAACCTGAGATCAAACTGCAAACCTTCTCATCAAAACTCAGAATTAAAATTCCCAACATTCTAAGGAAAAAATGGTTTGTCAAAATATAATATTTTTCACTTGAGAGATCCAGTCTTCATTATTCATTCTTAAAAGATAATATTTTTCAAGATAGTGAAAAATAACCAGGTAAGCCTCAACATAAGTTCTATTTTTAATGATCTTTACTTTTATATAGCAAAATAGAGATTTTTAAGTTTTAAAAATGAGTAACACTAATTAGAAATTAAGAGTTACTTGCTATTGCACCAAAATGTCAATTTCCTTAAAACATACAATGAAGTACTCTTGAACACCTAATAGAAATTTATTATTTATCAATATAACAATTTCTAAATATAGCTATAGCACATATATTGTAACATCAAAAATAGAATGCTTGAGAGCAACTTTATAAAATTAATATTTTTAACATTGCCTACATGCAAAGTACTATGCTGATGCTACAACAAACCCTCAAATATAAATGAAACAAATGCACTCAATAAGGAGTTTATGATAAAAACTTATTATTGGTGGATCAAATAAGATACATTATAGAACACCTTCTATACTAATTGTCCTATAAATACAGCATTTAGAGAAGGCAACATTATAATGAAAATACCAGACTTAAAATACATGTGAAATTTAGAACATGGATTTATATTCTCTAATTTTATTAATTAATTTTATCAATTCCCTCCACTTTATTAAAATGTTTACACATGCCACTGATAAGGTAATTCATCTCAAAATGATTGGGTTGATATATAATATAACAAATAATATAACAAATAATTCCAACTGACCCATTAAGAGACTTACTTCATTGACAAGTTTTCCATTTCCTATTTAACATTATACTCTTTTCTCTCAATTTTGTAGACAATTGCTTTTGCCCTTGGGAAATTTGTTCAATGTACTGTAATTATCTGTATGACATATGGCCTCCTTAGCAAGAATGAACAAGAGAAATAGGCAGAAAGATGTAGAGAGAATAATGTTTGAAAAAAAATCACTTAACAGTCAACTTTAATTTTGAAAAAGTAGCATAATCATGATGTTGCAGTATATTAAATTTTGAGCTAAATAAAGAAACATATTTTCCTTACTAAACCAACTTACAATAGTAAGTGACTACAAGGGAGAATATGATTTATTATACTAACCATTATGGAGTTTATGCAAAAGT